GCTCAGGACACCTCATGGTCTGACCCTAAAAATATGCAATTTTAACAACTAAATATACAAACTTGGATAATTTTTAAAAAATCAATGAAAAAACTAAATTTTAAATCTAAATCGTAATTAAATGCTAGACCCTAAGTAGTAAAAAGTGAACTCCAAAATCAAATAAAAACAAAACACTCAATCATAAACTCTAAGGGGGCGTTTGGTTCAGGTCATCTTAGATTACCTAGGTAATCTGAGTCTGGTAATGTTATATTACCTTGTTTGGTTCAAGTTATAAGATTACCTGGTAATGTTATATTACCTGAAAGCTGATGTGGCGGTAATGTTTCAAGGTAATGTGATTACCCCCATTTTTTTTTAGGTAATCTTAAATTACCTTGAATTATTCCAACTTTGCCCTTGTTAACTAATCCTTATATAATAATAATAATAATAATAATAATAATAATAATAATAATAATAATAATAATAATAATAATAATAATGAAATTAATATATGTTTATATAATCAAATATACATGTGTATATTTATATATTTAGTTTTTTAAATATTTAAGCATTGATAGCCATTCATACACATAAATAAATAAATACACACACATTATATATATATATATATATATATATATATATATATATATATATATATATATATAGGGACATTATTGTAAATTGATCCATATAACCTAAAATATAACTTTGAACCAAACAAGGTAATATTATATTACACCATCCAAACCAAACATACAAAGTAATCTTACATTCCCAACATCTCACATTACCTTCCTGAAGGTAATCCTATTACCTGGGGTAATCCAAGATTCCGTGAACCAAACGCCCCCTTAGTGCAATGTACTTTCACATTTTTGCAAGTGAAATTTTTTAATACTAAATGTACATTTTGTAACAACTAAATGTGCAAACATAAAAAATTATGAAAAATATAAATTTTAATGTTCAAGTTTTCATAGTAAAGTTGGTGATAATTACTAAAATGTCACTATATTTTTTTTAAATATAATATGATCAGTATGATTTTTCAAGATGTAAGACTGAGATTGATTCTTAATTTTTTTCCTAAGGACACACACACACACACACACACACACACACACACACACACACACACACACACACACACACACACACACACACACACACACACACACACATATATATATATATATATATATATATATATATATATATATAGAGGATCATATGAGGTCATGTTCCCACATGAGATTTAAGGTCAAAATCTGGCCTTTGATTGTGCGTTGATCTATGGTTGTTGTTTTTTCGGATTTTTATTTTGTCTTTATTTTTTCTTTTGCCGCGTGAGTGTGTAAGGGCTTTTTTGTCTTTGTATTTTTCTTTCCTATTTATTGGGTGTGTTTGTCGGCTAAGTTGCTAGTTTTAAGGAGTTTAATACATGGTAATTAAATATTGTGAGCATTTATAATCTGATGTAGCGATCAACTTTATACACTTTCTAGTTTTTGTGATTTTTCCTTGCATCGTTTCATAGTTATTCAATTTTTTCATATTTCTCTGCTTGAAGGCTTATGGATTCTCCAGGTTAGTGTTTTCGTTTGTTTCTTGTATATTTTAATTGAGCATCGGTTGGTATTTGGTTTGTGTAGAAGTATGTGTCCATTTGTATGACATGCATTTTAGGGGTTGTGGTTTGATGTTGTTTATGGAGTTTTAATTTTTATATTTCAGTCGTGGGTCTTGGATTAGTGATTGTTTATTTGGTTTGATTTTATGTCGTAGTTGTATTTGTGATTTTCGTTTTTTAATAAGTGCCATTGACATATGTTTTTCGTTATAAATTGTTTTGCTAATTTATGCATTGCGGTATTTGTTTGACATTATGGCTTATGTGTCCTGGGTTTTTGTTCGCTGTTAGGATATTGCCCAAGTAGTTTGTGGATTTCGGTGTACATGGTATTTTGCATTTTATATTGGTTTGAAGGTTTTTGTTTTGTGGGGGGTGGGTGGTTACTTCGTAAAGTGCATATTTTGGTATTTGATTTGTGCATGTTTTCGTTTTTTAATAAGTGTCATTGGCATATGTGTTTCGTTATAGACTGTTCTGCTAATTTATGGATTTCGGTGGTGGTCTGACTACATGGCTTGTGTGTGCTGGGTTTTTGTTCGCTGTTAGGATATTATGTTGTTAGTTTTGTGCATTTCGGTGTACATGGCATTTGCATTTTATATTGGTTTTGAAGGTTTTTGGTTTGTAGGGGGTAGGGGTTTACTTCGTAAAGTGCATGCTTTGTTATTTGATATGTGCAAGCAGCGTGTTTTTTTTTTTTTTTTTTTGGAATGTTGTGCATGTCGATTTTATTTGACTGGTTTTGTGTTTGTGTGTATATTTCTGTTTGATGTTTGTGCAGTACGGTCGGAATCGCTGCAAGGGTGTGTTATGGACGTGTCCCCCGATGGGACTAAGTTTTGGACGCCTTCGTATGATGATGCGGTTGAGCCTTTTGAGGGGCTGACCCTATTGCGAAGGAAAATTTTTCAGCTTTTGGAGATGTGGTGTCGTTTGATGCAACTTATGGGACTAATAGGTCAAGTTGATGTTCGTCCTCCTCCAATCTCTAATAACAAGGGTGGTGGTAAACGTTACAAAAGTACAAGGGAATTAGCTATTGAAAAGTCGGGTCGTCGTCAACGCCAATGCCAAACTTGTGAAAAGTATGGGCATAATAGTCGTACCTGCCCGATGCGCAACGTTGATGTATGACGAAGGGGGTCGTATTGCTCTTTGGATTAAATTTAAATTTAAACACATTGCTATGTTTTTTATTTCACTAATGACTTGGTTTTATTCGGCATTTGGTGGTGGGTTTCAATAATGGATTTGTTGTGTCTTGTTATTTGGATTTTGTATTTCTATGCCGTGGAATAATTTTATATTATCCGTTTTTTATATAAGTTGGTTGTGGTATTATTTCATTCCTTTTTCTCCTATTCCGAAACCACCCCCTACTTGCACAGTATAGGTTACTGCCGTTGCACATGGTCTCTGGAATTTTGTGCGAATTTGCACGAATCCCTCCTTCGATGTTGCACAAATATCCATATGTCTTGTAACCGACTATACGCGTTTGTTGTTTTTTTTTATTTTTTTTTTATTTTGCTTCCTCTCTTGGTTAACACCCGCCTAATGAACGGTTTATGTTAGGTACTGGGATATTATATCTGTTTTTGAGTGGTGTCTTGCACATTCGGTCACTTTGATGTACCATATTATTTCGACTAAATGGTGTCATGCAAACATGCCTGTTATTAAATCTTCAATGTTAAGTTGCTTTATTTCCGGTGCACCGACCACTCACCTACCGAGTGTCATGCAGCACATCCCACTTGCACACTACTGTTCGTTGTCGGTGCACAAGGTGACTGGATTTTTGTGCACTTCTGCACGTATGCTTCCATCAATGTTGCACAACAATTCATATGTACTATAGATGACTATATGCGTTTGTCTGCTTTATTTTTTATTCCCCTTTTTGTTAACTTCCCCCCAACGCACAGTTTAGGTTAGGTGTGTCATTCAGTTCCTTCGATTTACCATATTATTTCGAATAACGGGTGTCTTGCGAACATGCATTTTAATATAACTTCAAAGTTAAGTTGGTTTATTACCGTCGCGGGGATGCCCCCTACCGTGTGGCATTTTATATTTCTGTTTGGGTGCACATCACCTGAACGTGTCTTAATCTATTTAGCGTTCTACGGGTTATTATTTGTTGCCATTTATCATTGCATTCATACAGTAGCCGGCGATGCACATACTGATTCATCCAGATGTAACGCCTTTGCACACTGGTGTACTCCACTACAAATTGGCTCAGAATAATAACACAAACAGGCAGAAAAACATCATCCCTACCTCTCATTATATACTCTTTACACTGCATAAGTTTTATAAACCCCTTTCATCACAGTTTCAAAAACAACCAATTTCATACAATTCACAACACGTTTTTGATTTGTGCATTATAACATACCACCACCGTGCTTCTACACAAACGGGCAACTAAACAGCCATGTTTTCCACTGATGGTAGTCATAAAAAAAAAAAACAGAAAACAGAAAAAAAAAAAAAAACAGAACAACCATCGTCTATCGTACAGAGGTTCTCACCGGAAACTACACAATAATATACCCCTATTCACGTTTATTTCTCCCCAACCCTGCCGGTATTTCAGATTCCGACTGAATCGCCGACTTCAACAACTACACGCACAGTTTTTTTTTTTTTTTTTTTTTTCCCCAAATCAAACCCACCATTCTCTGGTTCCCTAACTCATAATCAACTAACACATACATGCAATTGCATTTTGCACTCAATCGCTCCTAAAAAATCAGAGTGTTTAAAAAAAAAACACAAAAAAAAAAAAAAAACAAAACTTACGAAGTTTGCTCGTTGCGTCGATCGACACACGCCAGGTGTTCCGCCTTGGGGTTCCGTATGTCATTGATTCCGTTGTTGAAGTCGCCGGTCGGAGTTCGTGTTTGGCGCTGTCGGTTCGTCTGCTCCAAGTCTCTCCAGTGTGCAAAACCGTCAGTCTCCTTATTATTAGCAACTTTGAACCCTACACTGTCAAGACCCGTAAACAAAGGGATTTCCTTCTTTGTCTTGCACAATTAACAGTATAATTACTTGTTTACCCCCAACTTAATTACATATTAAGTAACAAGGCAGCGTACGTGGCGTTTGAATTCCATCTAGCCATCATTTTTGGGCCGTTAGATCGTCTCATCTTAGGGTGGAATTTTGACCTCAAACCTCACCTAACACATAAACCTCACTAGAACCCCACCCTATATATATATATATATATATATATATATATATATATATATATATATATATATATATATATATATATATATATAGAACAAATTGCACTTTTGGTCCAGTGAGTATTAGGGTACTGGCAATTTGAGTACGTGACTTTCAAAACTCCCAATTTAAACCTTTAACTATGCAATTTTTGACACTTTTGGTCCTCCGGGCCAAATTGCCGGCCAATTTTGACCGGAAAATGATTTAATGCTTCGAATTATTTTCTGTTGAGGGTAAAATTGTCATTTCACTATCTTCTTCTTCATTCTCCCCCTTCTTCTTCTTCGTTCTTCGCCGTTGACCTTCTTGAACAGACAATCCCGTACGCCCCTCTACCTATGGGCTTGATCGGAATGTACTTAGTATCCACTTCAAACACTGTTTGCCACATTCTGTAATAATGCTTTCCCGGCGCCCAAATTCCGTTCGGTGGCTCCGCCGCCGTCGCCATTCCGCCTGCAATTTTCGGTCACAAATTCCCAATCAATCCTAACTAACTGTAATTCACAGACAACCCTAAGTAATCCTTCTCCTGATTAAGATGGGATTGCGAAAAGGAGAGAGAATAGAAGTAAAATTATTCGCTCACAATAATAAATAACAGAGTAAAGGGGCTGGGAATCGATGCTTACTTTCCGGCAATTCGATCTCGGGCGATCTTCTGTTCTTTCCCTTTTTCAGTCTCCCGAATGTGCACTTTTCCTTATCCTCAACTAAGCCACTACTTGTCTGCATTACGTGTGTTCCCATCATCTCAAAAAGCAAACCCAAAAACTTTAAAATTTTTCTTGTCTGCATTACGTGTGTTCCCATCATCTCAAGAAGAACGAAGAAGAAAGGGAGAATGAAGAAGAAGGGAGTGAAATGACAATTTTACCCTCAACACAAAATAATTCGAAGCATTAAATCATTTTCCGGTCAAAATTGGTCGGCAATTTGGCCCGGAGGACCAAAAGTGCCAAAAATTGCATAGTTAAAGGTTTAAATTGGGAGTTTTGAAAGTCACGTACTCAAATTGCCAGTACCCTAATACTCACAGGACCAAAAGTGTAATTTGTTCTATATATATATATATATATGTCACCAAGTTCATTTTTAAATACAAGATGCACAATTATAATTATAGAAATGCCACCGCGTTACTGTTTGGAGAATGTCATTATATTACATTTTGTTTTTATTTTTTTCCTTATTTTTCCTTATTTTCAGCCCTTAGTCAACTTAAACACTAAATAGACAAATGAGATTACTTTGCATTTTTGTTTATAGGAAGTATTGTTCTCACCTCGCATATGATTATTAGAGAATGATTAATTTACTAAAAACATAATTTATTTTTATAAGGACAAACGATTACGAGAGTTGATTGAATGATTAAAATTGTAATTTTGTTTAACATTTATGACAATCAATATAAATAAGTGAATTACCATGCAAATTTCTATTTCTTCCAAAAGGTTGAATCCCCAACCTTAACAGGGCGTTTGATTGAAGGGAATTTAAGTTTCATTCCTACTTAATTCCCACATAATTCTAAAGGCCACAAAATTTCCTTGTTTGGTTGAAAGGAATTGCAATTCCTGCAATTTTCCCATTTTCATGGAATTAAAATTTCATGTCCCCATGAGATTTTAATTCTTGAGATTTTAGAAAGAAATTTTTTTAGTGATGAGTCAAAATTACCCCTTCCTTTTTTAACCTAAAATTAATGTCTAACAACAACAATGGATATTTTTGACTTTATACTACTTATTCCCTTTCAATTCCCATGTATACCAAATATTGAAATTGAAATTCCCAGTAATTCTATTCCTGTAAACCAAACATTGAAATTTAAATTCTCCATTTATTCTCCGTAATTCATCTCCTATAGAATTGCAATTCCTTTCCCACGTAATTCCCCCTCTCCAACCAAACGCCCTGTAAGTGTCTCCACACTCCGGTCCAACAGAGCATTTGGGAGGATGTAAATCATGATAACTCAATGGCTCAGCAGACATGATCAAATGCCGGTGCGCATAAAGAATCTGCCCACTTTGGACATAATCCCACAGTACCGCTGCTAAGGTTCAAACCTTAGTTTCATATCCCAAATACTGTCTATAATGCAAAATTCTAAATTAAACAACCTTCATTTATAATTTATAAGGAGAACTGAAGTAAAGATCTCTATCACAGTCAAACGCTTATAAGTTAGTTACGTCGATGATAAAGAAAATTATATTCGAGGAGCTATAAAAGGCGGGTAAGAGTATTTACACCCTGCTCGCACAAGCTTAGTTCATTGATTTTAGTAGCAAGTATTTGAGAGAAGAGATCAATGTTTGAACTTCGGTAGCGGTAATGTGGGGATTATGTTCAAAGTGAGTATATCATTTGTACGCACAAATATTTGACCTTGTTTGCTAAGCCATTAAGTCACCATAATTTATATTTTTCTCAAATTGTATGTCAGGTCAGGATGTATGAGTCTTTGGAATTGAAGATTCAGCCTTTTGGGAAGAGTATTTACACTCCGGGAGAAGAAGAAGAAAAGTATTTACACTCCAATGCATGTCCATTATTTTTGCAGCTTTCTACCGAAAGGTTTTCAAGCATTAATTAAGGTTGACCATCCTACATTTGATGACATTAGTACATTACTAAACGTGCAACATTTAAGAAGATGCTTGATTGGAAGGTTTGCTGACGTAATGAGAATAAAATGTTCAAATTATATTAATTCCATATTGATTTTGATACATACTCATATTGCATCAAACAATAACATAAAGAGGTAACTTAAGTGGCAAATAAACTTCTTTACAAGGATAATCCTCAAAATATAACTCAAGTTCAATTCTCAAAAGTGATAATTTCTTTTGGGCTAACTCTGTCTTATGCTTCTCAAAGTGAACAAGGATAGTCGGGTGAACCTAAACCTTAAGACGGACATATATCGACCCATAACACCTCAGTTTTTACACAAAAAAAGAAGAATATATTACATTAAACACTCTCTTAATATTTATTGTTTGGTAGTTAAAATAAAATTAATTAAATGATGTACACTCTACACACTTAAATACTATTTATTTAAAAAATCACTAAGAGAGAGGCTGAGAGGGAAGAATTGATGACATATTTGTATCAAATTTAATAAAAATTAACCAAGTCTTGCATGAAAGATTTTTTATTTTTTTTCTCAATTCGAAAAATTAACTTACAAATAAGAAGTGGTTTTTTTTTTTTTTTTTTTTTTTTTAAAGGTTGAAAATTAACAATGATAAAAGTTAGAGACAAAGCATAATCAGCCAAAATATATAGGCAACATATATAATAGGCTTTATGATAAACGTATAGTAGTAAAATGGAAGCACCTATATATCTGCATGATTTAATTTTAATTTAACCCTACAACCTTCAATAGTGTTCTAGAAAGTCCAAGCAATTTCCATCCAAATTTTATCAAAACGCACAGATTCCTACTGACTGTCAGAGAAATCAGTTCGCTTACACCAATCCAACGCAATTTCTCTGCTAATTATCAAGTAACTTTAAGTTGATAAGACTAAAAGTGAAAACAATAATATTGAAGTTTTATATAAAAAAACAAAAAAATAAAAATACTAGGATCTCTTTTACAAAGCAGTTTATGATGATTAAAATTTGATTGACAATACTCCGCTTGTTTAATTTGACCGTTCTTATTCAAACTAAGTATAAGAAATGATAAGAAAGTCTTGTTCCGATCACTTTTGGTATCCGAAAAAATCTTTGTTGCTATTTACGATCACTTTTTGCTTTCGACTTGATTTAAGATCACTTTCAGGTGGTCGAAAATTCAATAATTTCCAGTAGTGAATATTATTATTTATTTATTTTTTTTTAAAAACGCTCACTATCTGAATTATCTGAATTACTTTATGATATTATTGCAAGATCAGAGGAATGTGGAGCATAATATAGTCAAAACTTATATATTGCTATTACAACGGATAAGAGAGATGACTAGGTGGATTGGTAGAACATAATTAATGCCTTGTTTGGTAACTAGTTTGAGCTTAATTGTCTCTTAGACTTGGTAAAAGTCCAAAACAACTAGTTCTTGATCTCCAAGTGAATTGGGTTGATTAGGCTTCAATTCATTAATGTGTTGGATTGACCACAACTTGACTTGAGTCCTGAATATGTATATCACTTCTTCTTCATCCGAAAAGGTTGAATTTCAAATCCTAAGGGTACTCTATATATCTCGTTCCGACATAGCATTTGAGAGGATGTAAATCACGGTGACTCAATGACTCATCAGAAAAGACAAAATACCAAAATGCCAGTACGCACAAGTGATCTACCCACTTTGGGCATAATTTCCTCACTACTGCTACCAAGGTTCGAACCTTAGTCTCTTCTCCCAAATACTACATACTAAACCGTTGAGTTAAACCCGTGCGGACCTGTATATCACTTCTTCTCTAGTTAATTTTTTACCTTAAATCCTATCCGCAAGAAAAAATAATTATTAATCGAATATATTATTGTTCGTGTTCAATTCGTATAATGTAAATTTAAAATAAAAACGATAACATATTCTTGATGAGTAGTAGACGGAAGGAACAAAAAAATGGATAAATTTATGCACCACAAAATGGTCAAATAAATCATAAGCACAAATACGTTTTAGTGCACTTTTGCATCAAACATCTAATCTTACCAAGAAAATTAAAAGTTAGGTGGCAGAGGGAAAGAAGAGCACGTACGCAATTATCGTAGACGTGAGAATTTGTAAGTGTGCGTAAGTGTGGAAAACAAAAAATAAATCACAGAAACCAAATTAAAAGGTTTGGCTCCAAATTAAACCCACATGCCACAGATTCTTGATGCCTTGTACCTATATGAACTTGCCTATATATCCAAATTAAATTTATGCCACCATATTTGGCACTACTATGCTTCCACGCAATCATACCTATTAGGTCGGTGTAGTCCTTTTATTTTATTTTATTTTAAAATATCAAATATGCCACTGAACTTTTCACTTTGTGAAATTGAATCATCTAATAAAAAATACACAATTAAACCATTAAACAAATAAATAGGGAGACAACCATGGCTGCCCCCACCTTTGTCTGTTGTGGATGAAGGGAGAGGCAGCCATGGCTGCCCTCACCTTCGTCTGGACGAGGATGGAGACAGCCATAATTGTCCCCTCCTTTAATTTGTCCGATCTAGATGAAAGAGGGAGTAGCCATGACTGCCACCCCCTACATCCACAATGAACGAAGGTGGAGGTAGTCACTGCCTCAACCTTCTTCAATTCTACAATTTAAAAAAAATATTTTTTTTCTTTTAATTGTTTTTTTTTAAATAATTAAAATAATATATATATATAATTTGACATTATGACATAATATTTAACGGAAACTTGGAAGTAACTTGTAAAAAAATGTTATTTGTATGATTTTTGAGTTTTTAATGGTCCAATTGCATACTTTTTTTTGTTTGATGATTTAATTACACAAAGTGTAAAAATTTAGTAGCCTATTTGACATTTTTTCTAATTTTAAACTTGAAAGAAAAATCTCTATTATAATGTATATATGAGTCATGTAAATGTTATTACATTTCATTAAAAATGAATATAATTATTATAATTGGAGATGATAGACGACTTAAAGCTAAGAAAATTACTCTGTTCGTTACCTTTATAAAATTTGTGATTGATCAAATAAGGATAAATTAACGATATGACAAATTTAATAATGCATGCAATGCACCAAATAAAAGTTAAAACAAAAGAAAAGAAA